AAGTAATATTTAATAGTTTGTGTTAAATTGTAGCATGATTCAACAGAGCTAAACTCTGTATAAATGCTCCACAAGCTAATATCTGCTAACAGTTCAATAAACAACAGTGATAACATGGACTTTATAAGATAATTTTAATTTTAAACTGTTACATTATGTTCTGCTCAGATCACWTTGAGCTAAATAAGATCAAATCTGCTGACTTGTTGTAAAATGAGACGTTTTCCTGTTTATCTTCTGTTAATAAATCCATAACAAAAACAGCTTTTCTGACATTATTTAAAACATTAGATAGATTATATAAACTATAAAATATTATTAATAGGGGTTATAGGGATTAATAGGGATTTCTACATCATCAGTCCTTTATTTCTGCTCTGTTGTCAACATGTACAGTGATGGGAAATCCAGAGTCTTGACCGTTTAGCGTTAGCCGTTAGCTTCAGCAGCTGATCACACGGTCACATGGTTTCTGAGCTCCAGCTGTTCTACAGAACCTCCTTGGTGAAACCAGAGTTTTACATGATCAATAATAAATGTTTGTAAATAAAAACAGTGAAACTTTGTGATTTTTATTCACTTCCTGTTTCAATGTCGCTACAGGAAAGACTGAACTCCATCAGAGCCAGCATGGGGGGGCGATCCAGTCCAGCTAAGACCACCAGTGCAGCTCAGCTCTCCAGCCCACCCTTTGCCACCCAGTACCCGGTGTGGCAGTCAGTCGCACCCAAGAGGACTAAAAACCCAGTGAGTCCAACATCCAAGGATGAATTCAAATACTGGTTTAATCTTTTCACATTAAAAGTCTTTTCTGTACGTCATGAATCCAGCTGAACGTGGAGGACCCGTGTATCATCTGCCATGAAGACATGAGTCCAGAAGACACCTGCGTCCTCGAGTGTCGACACAGCTTCCATGAAGAGGTGAGCCAGTCTCAGATAAACCCTCTGGTTTGTTTGAACATAGAAACCTCACTGGGTTTAATGAGCTGTTCTGGTTCTGTTCTGGTTCTGTTCAGTGCATCAGGTCCTGGCTGAAGGAGCAGAGCACCTGTCCCACCTGCAGGAACTACGCCCTGCTGCCCGAGGACTTCCCCGCTCTGCTGGGCCGCAGACGCCAGGCCCCCTGAGGCTCCACTGCCAAATTAATCCTTTTTATTTTTCTATTTTAAATTTTAACTTTTTGTTTTTTTTCTTTAAAACATGCAGAGGCCTTCAGTTTGACCTTAAAACTCTGATTTAAAATAAATGTTCTGGTTCAGACCGATGTCGTTTCAACAGTTTATTTCACACAAACTTGTGCTTCAAATAAATGTTTACTGAATTAATCATTTAAAAACAGTTTTTATAACAATGAAATGTTTATATTAAGTCATTACAAACCATTTCTTTAAACCTAAAAACAAGTTTAAAGTTTAAAGACACTGATCCAGCTGGGTTTGTTTAAACATGTCTAAAGTTGTGATGTTTACACTGACATTCAGGGCTGTCCAAACATTTAGTCACACGGGACAAAATCATAAAGTCAGAAGAACCTGAGGCCCAAAAATATTATTTTTTTACCTGCTCAACAATAAACTAAGCATTGAATACTTAAAGTAGTCAGATTTATTGCTGGAAATGGATGTGTAAATTAATCTAGATTAATTAAATTGCAGGTTTCCCTTACTGAATTTATTTTTTCTTTCAATTTTCTACGTTTCAGCTGGGGAATAAATAACCCAATTTAGTCGATTCTGATCAATAAAATCAGGATTTAGGTCAATATTTTGTTAAATTCTTGACGTATTCAGACTCATTTAATGAATTAAAAGCGGATGGGACGGCAGCAAAATCAGCTTTTGAGTAGAAGTCACCAGATGTGGAAAAAGCTACGAGTGGTTATTTAAAGACATCATTGGTGTTAATATTTTTTATTGTAAGATTTTAATTGTCCCTAATAAATAGAAAGTCTACATCAAACAGCTGTGCCGGGAGCAAATTACTATAATTCTTGAACTGAAGTCAGGGGCCACAAATGGTCCCCGAGCCACACTTTGGACATCCCTGATGTAAAGCCTGATTGGTTTCTGTGGGTTTGAAGGTCAGTTCAGGTCCGACACAGCTTCAGAGGGAAGTTCTCTGTGATCAGATGATCATCRTGAAGAACGACGACGACGTTGATTTCAAACTCTGAAGAACAAAAACAAGTCTGGTTAACATCTAAAGGTGTCGTTCACAGCTGCGGTCAGGACGGGTTTCACTGACCCACTTTGAAGTTGGTGGTCTCCAGCGTGGGGCAGGTGAACAGGCGGGGGAAGATCATGTAGATGGGAATGGAGAGGCCGTGACAAACGTCTCCCTCTGCGATCTGGATGTTCTGGATCTCTGTGGAGTCTCGGGCGTATCCTTCAGCACAACCTGACCACAGAGAGAAGCTCCAGTTCTGCTACGAATCATCCAACAAGCCAGCGTCCTGAACTCACCGCAGGTCTCCACACGAACCAGCTGCAGCTCCATGCTCTTAATGGGGACGTCTGATTTCTCCACCATCACCTCTCCGGTCAGCGGCCGGCTGATCTCACAGTTTGTGGCGTCTAAATGACCTCGGATCAGAAACTTTGGCAGAGAGCTCCTCTAAATGTACAAACAAATGAGTTAGGTGTTAACAGTGTTGTACAAAGTACCTCAAAGTGATACTTGAGTAAAGGTACAAGTATCTTATAAAAGAATAAAACTGGAGTAACAACTTTCTACTTCTTACCTTTTAAAAAAAGTAGTGAGTAGAAAGTACAGATAATTGTGTAAAAATGTGTAAGAGTAAAAAATTACTCAAGTAAAGTACAGATAACCAAAATTTCTACTTAAGTACAGTAACAAAGTATTTGTACTTAGGGTGTTAAATAAAAAGTCATGAAAGTAGTTTTATTCGCTCACCTCTCTGATGTTCTGTAAAGTGTCGGGAGTGATGGTGAAGTCGACCGGAGCRGAGACAGGTTTTGCTTTTTGTGGCTGAAAAACGACAGCGTTTTAAGGAACGTTTCTTTTCCAGCAGACTCACAAATGATTGACAGAGCGCAGCGTGGACTCACCAGGCTGTGSACGATGAACTCACAGTTCCTGCTCAGGTCTTTGGCCAACAGAGAGCGCTTCATGTCACAGCGCAGGGTGTACTGCAGACCCAACAAACATTAAAGAATTACTTTCTCACGTTTGAAACAACCATGTGGTGCTTTTAAACGCGGGGTCTGAGTAAGTTGTACCAAAACACAACTGAATATAAACCGACGGACCTGGATGTTGACGAAGACACCGTGGTAAGTCTCATAAAGCACTTTGTTGCCTTTTGTGTGCAGAGGAAACTCAAACGGGATCTCCGTCTTTCCTCCTGGGATTTTTCCTGCTTTGGCCACTTCGATGTTGCTGCTGATCAGCGGGATGGGCTGAAACACATCGAAAAATCTGCTTTACCACAGTGAAACATCAAGATGTTGGATTAACTGGAACGTGTCAAGAGTTACCAAAATCTGACAGAAAAACTTGAGTTTTGCCATGTTTTATTATTTTAATAATTTTAAATTAACTCTGCACTGAACTGGATTCGTCTCAGATTTGATCAGTTAATTGAGGAGTARTATGAACTAGAAAATTGAAGAAATTTAAAARGGSCTTGCCCAAGTGTGCCTAACTTGAAAMCAAAACTTGGCCTAAGAAAACCAGAAACCCMTAAGAACTGCCTAAAAYCTAAATCYCTTCAGAGGTTAACAAAGSTCATCAATATCCAGTTTGGAGCAACCAGTGGTATTTTAYAGGGCTAAAATGATTTGCTTTAATCATAATCACTGTGCAAACTACAACTTTTAGTAATAAACTTSATACTGCGCCCTTATTTTGAAAATCCGAACRGGTTACATCCGGTTCGAATTGCGTCGGCCAGGATTGCGCCCTCTGCTGSTCCGGATGTATGAAAAATGGGACTTGTGGCGGCAGGCGGTTTTTAGTTAATTACTCCGCARTAGTAWTTTGAATCAAAAAGTTCTTGAAAAGCACACTTCTCCACTCCATGACGGTCTTTTTGATGTGACTGTTGTGGGGGTACATGCTACGGTTCGAGCCGCATTAAAAGTGGTGGAAGAAGAAGAATAAAGAAANAAGTTTGTGTTAATTATACTTGGCTTATACTAAAAGCCAAGTATAGTGTAAGATAAACTTGGTTAAGTATATAAGTACACAAAAAGCAAACTGGAAGTATACTTTTTTATTTTAAGTTTAAAATGAGTATACTTAATGGGTACTTGCGTATACTAGTTTTTGCTGAGAAGAAACTGTTCAGATCTGCATTTCTCATTAAAGATTTAAAAATATATTCCAACTTAACCCAGATTAAGAGCTTATTTTAAGCCAGCATATATTCTGCTCATCTGAACCTGAAAGAGATTGATTTATTTTCTGCTGCAGCTACTTTGCTCAGATCTTGGAGGAGCACGGCCCGCTCTCTGCAGAGGACCCTCTGCTGGTGGCAGAGCTGCAGCACTTCCCTGCCGTGGCCAAGCAGAAGATGGAGGCAGCGGGAGGTTTCGAGGCCTTCCTCCTGGAGTCGCTGCGTTTCATTAAGATGGGCCGCTGCATCGGGCTGGCCAAACACGCCGTGTCCCTGCAGCAGTCGGAGCGCGGCGCCAGCCTGGACGACCTCGACGAGATAACCGACTCTGACTGTAACTTTTCTGCTCTGGATTTGTACACAGCAAGGCCTTTCCCAGACTATCAGCAGAGTTACTCCTCTGCAAACACAGGACTCCCTCCCCTCCTCCCAAACCCTTATTTATCTTACTGCCAGGCAGGAGGTGACGTTCATTCCCACTGGACTAASCAAGCCTCGAACCTTTTACCCAGCGCTCACATAGAGCCGCAGCTCGACCCCCTCGATACAGATTTTTCAGTTTTGGAAACCAATCCGACATTAGAGGAAACCGTTTTTATGCCAAAGGATGAAAACCTTTTCCAGAGACATGCAGCGGTGCAGGTGACCTCATTWAAAATTAAACTCACAGTGAAATGTTTCTGCAGAAATCCACCGTGACGTTTGATCTGTTGTTCTCAGACATGTCGGGAGGCTGCGAGCAGCGTGGCCGTCAATACTCAACTTTATCAGCTCTTTGAGAAATGCCAGGTTAGTCTGATTTAATATCTGCACGTAAAATACGGCTGAGAAGTCAAAATATTAATAAAAAATGGTTGGAGGTACAAATAAAAACCTCTAAATATACTGCTTTAATTAAAACAGCTTTTATTTTGAAGGAGAGGAAACATAAATAGCCTATATGCCACGGACCGGTCCAGCACTTGATGCCACTCCCAACACTTCCAGTTCAC